AGAGCTGTCTGACGTTCTTCAGAAGCTCCGGGCTGTATTCGGTCTGCACTAGCCTCAACGCACGCCCCACCAGGTCCTGTTTCAGCCCACTTTTGCTGCGACCCATTGAAGCCAGCAGCGTCTGCAGGTCTGAGACCCGGAAACTTTTGACCATGTTCTAGAGGACAGAACAACAAAGATATGAGAAATACAGAGACAATGAAGTCTGCAAACAGGGAACATTTGAGTGACAATTCCATGTAGAGATCAAGTCCCAATCCAAAATGTACTGATAGTTGATTGAAATGCAAAGCCATTTACTACACAGTGCTAATGCTACTGGATTTCACAACTTTGAATATTTTGTTCTTTCCTAAATTATTGATTTTCTAAGGCATCACATGCTGTGAGGAAAAAACTCCACACAATTAATTAGCTTAAATATGCAGCATTTTAATATGACACAGCAGTGCTTCTGTCTTTAGTCACTTTAATCCTACAGAGGCCTGAACCTGCCTCGTAATTAGCCGGCGGCTATAGTAAGAAGTTACACTGCTCCTCATTCTGACCGCTTGCATTAAGGCCTACTCATTTTCATCAGCCTGCTCTTAAACAAACTACAATCCAACTTACAATCCTGAATATGCGACAGCAGTGAAAATGTATGATACCACTGACTTTCATTGTATTACACAGTCATGTAAGGCACATTAACTGTGTTTAGTTTGAGGATTTAAAGCAATATGGTTTGGTCACAAAAAAATATATTTTTCCCTTGTGCGATGTTTACATGAATACCAAAATCTGTTTACAGTCCCATGAGGTGGAAAACACCTTAAATGTAAAATTAACCACGTCCCATTACTGATGGGCAGCATGTTTATAAATCAGTTCCCGAGGATTCACAGTGAAATGTCATTTAACTGCGTCGACTCTTGATGGTTTACGGGTGAACTCGTTTGTCCAGCAGTGACATCCGACCTTTAAGCGGAAGTCAAACCACAACAAACAGACGTTTTCTCTCTGAATACACTGAATGAAAAGTGTAGTCAGCGATCGTAGTTAAATGATAATTTCACGTTTAATCTCACAAAGGTCCATTTTTGTCGCCCATAATGGGTCCACATTTCGAGCAGCTGCACAGAGCTTGTATATTTAATACATAACGTACATGATACTATAAGTGGTATCGATTAGCTCAGGACGGGCCTCGTATGACCGACCATACAGCCTGTATGAGGATGTTTAATTAGCAGGCGGCAGCAGCAACATGAGAGTATGTGAACCTGGCTGTGGGGTGAAGCACGCAGTGTTGTTGGAAAACCCTGAGCCGTCTAGCATGCTTTAGCTTTGTCTGACATTGTTGGGTTGGACATCAGTGGCACAACCGCTTTGTGTCTAGATTACATTTTCACAATAACGGGGCTGTCCACTGGGCTTCTGATGGACGTGCTGAGCAAAAATAATACAGCTATTATTAAGTCAGTAACGTTGCTGTTTCTCCAGCCTCACTTGAACATTACCAATGTAGCCTGCGCTAATCGGCTGGCTAGCTCCTGTACAGACTGGGCTGTCGGTATTCAATCATGGCAACTGGACATTTTGACAGGTGCACTGCTCCATAAACTAACCGGCTGGCTACAGACAGACATCACTGTGAGACAAATAACGTCGAACAGTAACACGCCGGGAAGCCTGCAGGCAGCAACCCCCCCAAGTGTCTTTATGGTCACATCATTCATTTTCGGTGTCTTCCTTTAGAGCCAGCGTGATGCTAGCTGAACCAACGCACTTGCCTGGTTAACTAACGTTATACCTAGCAGGCTAGCTACATTAGCAGCACAGGCTAGTTCGTTTCGTCGCCAATGTAGCACGCTACATTTGACAGATTACCAGCTCTTAACTATATTCACACAAAGCCCCCAGTTTCCCCACGACCGGGCTGACTCTCAAATCACAGTCCCGCGCCCGTCTCCCATCAAACCAAAGCTAGCCAAGCTCTACTTGCCATCGCCTCCACCAGTTCGGCCGCCATCTTCGTGCAGCAGTACCGCGAGAGTCACAGGCGACGGCTAGTCTTTGACCAATGAAACGCGGAGCCTGCTTTGATAGACGGGTGGCCTCAGCCAATCACAGCGCGCTTTTAACCAGGGCCCGAAGCGCTGCATATAAAATGGGCGGGACCACGGTATTTTAAAGTTACAGTGCAACTTTTTAAAAACACTAAGAGACAGGTCTCAATTCAAAAATAGGCCTCAGTGTCCACTAATGACACCACGAGTGAAAGTATTTTGATGCCCATTATATTTCAGTTTTATAGTTTTGAGATATCGTGAACGAGTGTCCTAAAAACTGTTTAAATTCAACGTGGGTGTAAAGCATGGGGTGTCAAGTGGAACGGGTCGCATGGTGTGTTCAATTCCCGTCCGAGCAAAATATTCCGGTTCAGGTTCTGCGCCCAGCCATGAGATGTGGCGTTAAGGCTTTGTCTAAAGTATGCTCATAATTGAATTAAAATTGGTAATTAACGAAATGCACTTGCACGTTAAAGTATGGACCGGTCGTACCCTGTCTAAAACACAAATACCTTCTTGTGTCACACTTTTAGCAAAATCGAAATAAGTATGCCAAGGACACATTTATAGTCCATGTGGCGATCCAGCCCTGCTTTTCCAAAAGTCTCCATATGTGGCAAAAAATAGCCTCATGGAAACACAAAAATCAATTGAAGGAATTGCAGTATCATGTAATAACATGGTGTGTTTTGTTTTGGCTTTACTTGGATGTGAAACGTCAATAACACAATGCTGTGTATTCAAAAGCACCGCTGGCTTTACCTCTATGCTGCTTGATAGAAAATGTTATCTATGATTTGGATTTATGAGTAAAATATGTAGGATATAGGAAAACGGGATTCAGTTATCTCAATATTGTTCACAAACGCAGACCCAAACACAGCACACAGTAAATACAATACAAGTGGCTAGTTTTACAATTGTAATATTGGATGATATTTTTTTTTTTTATTAATTGAACATAAGGATACATATAAACTACCTAAATACAATACAAACGCTTGCTACTATGAAGGCACTATAGTGCTCTCTTCTGTGTATGTAAAACATGTTCTATTATTTAAACAGAAGAGGGCAATATGGTCCATGATTTGACCTGACCGTCATTTAATTCATCCACTCACTAAAACTGAGAGAACAAAGTAGATTGCTCCAGATACTATATTATTACTGTTGTCTGGACTAATGGGATGATGGAGGTCAAATGGTGTAGGACAATATTTATATTCTATTGTGGGGGGAGTTTAAATCTCCACAAATCAGTATGCACTCATGCAAACAGACACTCTTCAAACTTGATCTTTATCCAGAGATTTGAAGAATATAAAACATGGAAATAATGAACAATAATAATTTTCCATTTGATGTAACGGTACAACTGTGTGTGTGCATCTTATAATTAAATATTTCTAAAAGTGTGACACATATTCACTGAAGAAGAAGGAGATGCAGAACATGTGTGCAATATGATTTTAATTTTACTTATACAAACAGGGATTCAAGTGGTTAAATAACACTACGTTTTAAGATGGATTAGGTGGTTTAGTAAACCTAAATTAGTGAAAAACACTCAACAACTCACAACCCTTGGCTTTTCCTAATTGTAAAAACTCAGATCATAATGCACATTTTAATTATTCAAATGTCTGTCATATCTGATTGATATCTAACTGAGCATAAAGATAAAATCTACAATTTATGTCAAGATTCAGACAAGTAATTCACAAGCGTCTGATGTGTAGATATTTGACCTGTGTATCACAACATAAACATCTCTCCTGTATTTAAGCTAAAACCACAGAAAAAACTTCAACATCAATTCATTATAAAAAAAACATCACAATCAAAGCACAAATTTTAATATTTAGAAGTAAAGTTAAATTAAACACAGAGATAAATTCAGTATAGTAGAGTTTCAACACATCATTAGAGAGCACTATGCAATAACTTCCCTCAAATAGGGAAATGTACTTCATGAAAAATGTATTTATTATTTCATAGCCAGAAAAATGTTGATTACACAGTTTACAAAGAAAACAATTTTATACAATACGGTGTAGTTGTGTGGACACATTACAGTTTTCATCTCTGAGAAGAATCTTAAAAGAAATCTAAGATTATAATTGTTGAACTCACTCACAAGCACAAAATGTACATATATATTAGTATATGGTTTTGTATATGGAAAAAATGTCAACATTTCCAATGGCTAATAACAAAGAAGTGTCTTTTTTTCGCAAAAATTGTAATAAAAGTCACAAGAGACAAATTAAAAATGGGTAATTTCAACACCGTGAGTTTTATCAGATTTTTAGGTCATATTCATCACTTTATGTTACCATGTGTCGATCAGTATCTGCACAGTACATTAGAGCTCTTTCCAAAAAAGGAGACTCAACTGAAATTGTTTTGTCTCCAAAACACTGAACTTGACCCATTAATTACTGCTCTTTGGTAATTGGAGTAGTTCTTTGGCCAGCATCCGCATGGACAAAACAACTTTAACAGGATAACACTGGTATCTAAAAGGCCTTTGATTCTACTGCATCCATCCTTTGCACACCATGTCTTACTAAATCTTGAGTGTTTAATCTCCCGTAATTACAAAGATTTGCTTAGGTTAATAAAAATAATCCGCCTCAATTGAGACCCCCTACCTGGACCTCCCCTGTGCTGCCTTTGCCCCTTTCTGTGAGGGATAAATTCACAGTCATATAAATAGAGTCACCTTCACAACCGTGAAGCACAACTCAGGAGCAAAAGGCTGTTAGATATTGAGAAAGTAGTTTGGTTCGTCAGGTTTTTCAGAGAGGCGGAAACAATTAATTCAAATTTGTTGCTAAACAAATTAGCTGTATTTAGTCTTATAGACTGACGTCATTTCCACGGGTTGAGATTGTGAGCGCGTCAAGGTTAACAACAGTTGAGAGGCTCATCTTTATCTGTGATCTTGTCAACAGTAAGACTTCGGCGGAAGAAGCGAGGCTCATTGAGGCGGTCCGTTTGGGAAGGGTCCTGCACTTTAAAAGAAAATAGCCATGCTGTGAAATTCAGACACAAAATTCTGAGAAGACTCTTGGGAGAGACACTTTACATTTATCACCTGATATTTATTCTGCAGCCAGTTTGGAACCAATAAAACCTCTGAAATGAGTCTGAGATATCTTAATTCAGAGATGACAATGGAGGACAGAAGCAGCCGCACCGGCGGCAGAGAAAGGCTGGGACTGAGCTTCACTATTGACTACCTTCTGTTCAATAAAGGAGTCAAAGGTTCTAAAGAAGAAGCGACAGGAAGTCGTACGGCAGAGCAGACAGCGAACAACCTGCTAAATCATCAGAATCCTACACCCAAAGAGGTGGGGATTCGCTCTGAGATACAGGAGAAGCGGGTACAGAGGTCAGAGGCAGAGACTGAAGACAGGAAAGTCAAAGAAGAGGAGGGGGATGAAGACCAACAAGAGGAGGGGGAGGAGGAAGTGACCACCACCACATCTACCAGCAGCAGTCCAGAGAAGTCGGCAGACAAACCCAACCAGTCGTACATCGCACTCATCTCTAAGGCAATCCTGACGTCGGAGCAGAAGAAGCTGCTGCTATGTGACATCTATCAGTGGATCATGGACCACTACCCGTACTTCAAGAGTAAGGTATGTTCACCTCAGTCTTCTTGTCTTATTCTAGTTGCCTGGCAGTCAGAGAGCAACCTAATGGCATTGTTAGAATACAATAGTTGTAGCTGTGGGGGAATTCAAAAAGTCAAACTGGGTGATAATGTGAACGTGTGTCTGTGGGACTATTCCAACATGATTCATGCTGTGTTACTATAACTCGTCACAGCAACTGAAAGGCAGTCGTGAGACAGACCACGAGTGAGCGTGCTTTGCCCAAAGTCTTCTGCATGTTTCATTCAATTGCTGACAATAATGTGGCAGCCATTTTCACAAGTGAAGCGACCTACTTGGCACAGGTAATCTGTCTGAGTGGTTAGGCAATTAGGTGCTTGCAGGGACACTAGATGATCTTCTTGTTGGCAAATTCACAAATAAAGTAATCCTGTTGCTAGGTTGCAAACTGTCTCTGCCTTTACCAGGTGCAACAACAGATTGGATGTAGCCTAGTGGATTAAAGTTGATCACTGGTTTGACGTGCTAAAAAGGTAACTCAGGGTGTTGTGTCTTACTGCGATCATATATGGTCTTGACACGCTATCACGAATCCTGCCAACAACAGGACAAGGTGACATCCTGAAGAGGATCAGAGATACTTAACAGCCACCTTTGTTAATTTTCAATTGGGGACTACATTGTTTAACTCTTACTTAATGTTCAGGTTTTAACCATATTTCTTCTCTCTCAACAGGATAAAAACTGGAGGAACAGCGTGCGTCACAACTTGTCCTTAAACGATTGCTTCATCAAAGCGGGCCGCAGTGAAAACGGTAAAGGCCACTTCTGGGCGATTCACCCCTCAAACTACCAGGACTTTTCTAACGGTGACTACCACTGCCGGAGGGCACGGCGGAGGGTGCGCAGGGTGGCAGGACAGCATCCCCTTTCCTCCCTGAGCTCCCCCTACCACCCTGCCCTCACCCGGCCCCACAGAACGACCTGTTGGTGCTGTCCTCAAGTCCAAACACTTCCTCTCTCCTGCTTGGCACCCAGACTCTACTGGCCATGGTCCAGTGTGCAGCCTCAAGTGGGGCTCCATCCGGGCCTGCGTGCCTCTGTACTGTGAGAGTGAATAGGTTGTATTTTAGAGGTATTCTGACTAATTTGCTAATGAATATGTCATTAGGTGATGTTAAAATTGAAGTGTACTTGGACAATGTTACATTATATTAAAGGCAAAGTGATTTTAGGATTTCAACGATTGAATAAAATATATGAAGCTGCACTTCTTTCATTTGTATTCCAAATGTTTTTTAGAGTAACAAAAACACAATGTTTTGTTGTGATCTCATTAAATTATATTGAATTCAACTCCTTGCGATGTTTTTAATCAGCTGCCTCAGCTGTGTTGTGTGTGTATGTGTGTGCACTTGCCTGTGCGTGCAGATAGCACTAAAAGTGAGCCCAATGCTGAAATACCACCCGGTGTTAGATGCTAATTAGTCAAAGCTGTCGGGATGCAAAATCTTCTGCCTTAAGAGACTAAAATCGGGCTTTCCAAAGCCGACTCCCAAGGATATGAGGCCAGATAATCTCAGCAATCCCAAATAGTTTCAAGAAATGGGAAGCTTATCACACAGTGTAATCCTTAACCACTGCTGCAGAAAGAAGGGGGACCACGGGAGGTCAGGGATGAAGGAAGCGGAGGAAAGGGAAGGAGGCAGAGAGAGAGGGAGGTGACACTGATTTATTGGAGAGAGGTGGGAGGGCTTTTTTTAGGAACTGTGTACTGTATTTGTTCAGAAGAGCCGGTCAGGGCAGAAAAATAGAGCAACTGGAATAATGAAAGACATTTTTTTTTTTTTTACGTTGAACACAAAGTCACGGTTAAAATGAATACAGTACGTATCTTATTGTTAAGATCTATCTGTGTGATTTTTGGCACATATCATAAAGGGACACCCTGAAAGTGATCTCTAAAGCTGGTTAATAAGATGACTCCAAAATATTGTCATAACAAGAATCAAGTCAATTTTTACCTGTCCGGCTCTCACATCAATAGTGAAATTCCTCTCTGACTTGCAAAGGTTGGCATTTACATCCACAGTGGTCCAGCCTAAGAGGATTAGGTCATACATTGACTTTTCTGAAGTTTGTTTGTCTCAGCTCATGTGGGCTTCTTATTTGCAAATTATTGAATATTTGAATAAGGCGATATTTGACATGAAATTAGATTCTACACAGAGAATAATATGTGAGAGAGAGAGAGAGAGAGAGAGAGAGAGAGAGAGAGAGAGAGAGAGAGAGAGAGAGAGAGAGAGCGTGTGTTAACCAAAACACTTATATGTTCTGGCGATGCTCATTAGAACAATGACAAATCCATCTAATTAATTTTTGTTCACCAAATCTTCCTATTCAATGTCAGCAGCTAATTGGAGACCTAATTTGCTTAATTCCCATGAATTGCTCTCTGCATCAAATCCTCTTCAATTCACCAGCTTTAAGGCTTTAATTTGGTTGCATATGTTTGCTCTACACACACACACACACACACACACACACACACACACACACACACACACACACACACACATCCAAGAGTTTACATTTCACACACACACACACACACACACACACACCTAAAGCATTTGCAGAAACACACATTTTGTACACGCAACAAATTACAGTGAGGTATGAAGCCTGTTGAGTGATAATAATAATATATTAGCAGCTGAAATATTAAGTGTTGATCATGTTTTTCTTGTTAAAAGCTGTTACTGTAAATACTGTAAATAACATTACTTATTTTCAACATACAAACATACAATTAACTACCTTTCTAGGAGCATGAGATTGAGGTCATAAACTGAGTGTGTGTGTGTGTGTGTGTGTGTGTGTGTGTGTGTATGTGTTCATATGTGCATGTCATTTTGTTAATCTAATGGGATGGGCGGAGGGGTGCAGGGGGCCGTAGATTAAGGCACAAAGATTTGCTGCTGATTAGCAGAGAGTGAGGTAAGAAGATCAGTCCTGCTGAGATGGCGATGAAACATTATGGCCGTGTTTTAATACAATACATTTACAGCAGCATTCCAAAGCTGATTCCCCTTAGCTTACATGTATCTCATTGATTTGACTCAACATACAACTGTTCACAAAACATAGGGCGAAGCCTGAACGTGTCTGTAGCAAATTGATCAAAGAGACACGTAAGAAAAAGGAAAAAGTTGCCTAGATTTTCAGCTTGAAGCTTATGTTTGCAGTATGTGAAATGATTCAACACTTTAAAATAAAATTCACTTACTGTAATTGTAGAATCTACAGCATCTCTGCCTTTCTCCTCTCCCAGTGACACTGGGTATAGTTACACTTACACACATTAGAGCTATACAAATAATTTGAAATAAATGTGTTGTAAAAATTATGTTTCACTTTTCATTTATATATTTAATTTATTTTAATATATATAAATGAAATAATTCCCTGAAGAAATAGCCAATCTTTATTCTTTAAGAATTTAAAGGAACATTTTTATTGTCAGATTTGATGTAGGGATTTTTGTATGGTCTAAATATTAAAATACACATTTATCTCTACAAACCACTTCTTTTTAATTAACATACGTGGTCTGTGGCTGATATTTAGACCTGCATTCAGACCAATGGACAGTTGAAGCTGTAGAGCTCTAAAATGATAAATCATCTTTGAACATTGGCAGTTTTTAGGGGCTTACTTCCTATTATTTAACTAGTGTTCAGCACTTATTTTTGGTTTGTGGTCCAGCACTCATTTGTGTCTGTGCCATTCTTTCACTTTGAGTTAGTTTGACTTGAAATGCTGCTGCACTATATTTTAGGTATGTTGTTAAAAAAGAGTAAGACAAACAGCATGTTCTCTATTCTCTAAACTACTATTAAAAATAACAATAAGCTTGATAAATAATAAATAAACAATGAGGCTGGACCCAGATGATGAAGAAAGAAACACCATAAAAACATGACGTAATTAAGGCACAACCATGTGAATTTTGAATAAAATATCTACTCTTTGTTTGATTTTATACACTTAAATTATTTGCCGTTTTCTCTACTATGTCTCATCGTGGTGCGACTGCAACTGAACGTATGAATAACCCTCAATAGGCCCAAAGCCTAGAGGAGTCCAAATTGCAAGTCTATTAGAAAGCATGATTGCATAGAAGTAAGTAGTATTTAAGGCTTAGGAAGCGCTATAGTTGAACCAAAACCAGCTGCTATTTTCTGGTTGTGTCCCACCATGAACAATAGCCTGGCGTTACCTCGGCTTCAAAGGCTCCATAATAGTCAATCGATCAGAATGCGAGGCGCTATTCTGCAGATTACTGTTAACAATAATTTGCCTCCCAGTGCACCGTTGCCATCTTTGAAGCAATGTTTTATTGCCTTTTTTTTTCTTCTTCTTCCATCTGCATCTGTCATCCCCGAGGTCCACTGTTTGATCTCTCCCCACCAGTGTCTGCCTCCCCGGGGTCGCGTTGACCTGTTGATTGGCAGCTGCGATCAGACATATGGTGGGACGAGGCATCGACCGCAGCTCCCCGGAGACAAAAGCAGACTAGTGGGGTTTTTTCCCCCTTTTTCACCGCGCCGAGGAGCCGAGGAGCCGAGCAGCAGCAGCAGCAGCAGCAGCACCGAGGAAGAGGTCTGATCTCACCACTAGATGACGCAAGGTGCAAGCGAATATTTCCAGCCCTGTTTCGGCCATTTAATGTAAGTGGAGGTGGCAACGTTTTTTCCTCTTTTTTTATTAAACCCAACCTTATTATCAGTTATTCCTGTTGAAAATAAGACACGTGGTGTGCTAATTAAGCTCTGCATTATTTATCTTATACATTAGTCTACTTGTGAAGTATTTTCCCAACTGTTATTATTTATTAATATAAAGAATTTTCTAAGAAGATATTTCTTCTTGTCAGATACTACTTCCCTTTGTTGTGACACTTTGACCCCTATAATGGAGCAGAATGATGGGGTTGTGCGGCCATCTCAACAGATCAAATATGACCTCTGGAACAGGGAAAATAATTAATGTGGATGTGACAAACCATGGAGTTGATGCCAGGCTTTGGATTTTGTCCAGCTGTGTGTTAGCTCACTGGAAACCAATTGGAACTAGTTTGACTCCCAGTTTTAAAAAAAAAACCCAGATTTGATGCTCAGCCTGGTGTGTGTATGTGTGTGTGTGTGTGTGTGTGTGTGTGTGTGTGTGTGTGTGTGTGTGTGTGCATCATTTCAGCATACAGAATGCAAAACACCCCCATCTCTCCTCCTATAGTGAGCAGAGTGTTGCCATGGCGATGCATCCCTGACCAGGGCCTTGCAGTGATCTCCACTGACCCTGGTTGGTGACCTCTGACATTTAGGCCATGGCCAGGGTCAAAAGGTCAGCGATGGCCGGGGGGCAACAAGAGCACTTCCATGATTGGCACTCTGACATGCTTGCTGCCCCCTTCATGTGCAGCGCTCATCTGCCTCCTGGTTTGCACCTCTCATTTGCATTTGTTATGGAGCGAAGACCATCGGATGCAGGAGGTTCATCGTCCCACTGCTTTGCATTGCACCCGAGCAGGTAGCCTGTTTTATGCTCTCAGCAATGCAAGACTCAATACTGTATAATTTGCATTCAATGCCGCTGCATGTTCTAGGTTTCTCCACTTCAGTTTTGTGCAAATGGTGATGATAAAATGCAATCTCCAGCAGGTCTAACGTCCTGTATCATGATGGTTATGATAGCAGTAATGATCATCAGTAGGCTATTCCCATGGCCCCTGTAATCCACTGTATGTGAGGATATTTATAGTTCTTCATGTGATAGTGTGTGTGTGTGCGTGCGTGCATGTTTGTTCATATCTAGTGTGTGTGTGTGTGTGGGGGGGGGCAATGCACCACACTGTGGTTCTTCTCATGGGGAATAATTACAGAATCGTGGGTACTAAAAGTCATGTGACCCTAGCCTTCTGCTCCCAAATAATTTATCCCCCCGGCTGATAGCTCGTCAATATCAATTTATTAATTTAACAGTTCTGGACTGATAAAAGGTAGTGCGCACAGTTAGCCTGCTGAAATGGGGAATAGGGATGAATTTTACAGTGCAGTGGTGTGAGGGGAAGGAAAGAGGGAGAGACTGGAGGACAAAGCGAGTGGGGGAGAAACAGCACAGCAGTGATCAATGGCAACACAGAGGAGAGAGATGCATATTCGCCGTGCAAAAATGGGCCGCCATCGCTCATATTCCAAGGCTATTGAATGAAAGTTATGAAAATTAATACACTTATTATCA